GGCAATGGTCACTGCTCTGTTGAAGATGACACTGTATTTACAGATTGGAGTCTGCAGGTGTCCATCCCCAATGGTCTTGTAGCTGCCGTCAACACTCAGGGCTCAACAGAAACTGGAGTTGTATTATGGAGCCACCAGTTTGATTCCCCCATAGCAGCTGTTTGGAGGTTGAATGAAGGTCTTGTTCAGCCAGTGACGTTACTTACTAAGGATGTGATGCCTGAGTTAGCTCCTTCTTCTACCCAAGGAGAGGTTCCACAGGGGCCAGTAATGTACATAGGTAAGAAATTGTCTTGAGTTTTAATCAATAAAGTATTTGTTGTTTAAGAAGCAGTTTTTGTCATTACATACATTGTACTGCTTTGTATGAAGGCATGACTGTATTTGTTGGTTTGTTCATTTTTAATTAGTCCTTTTCAAACTGGAACAGCTGTAGTACTTAAAAGTCTTGAGAACAGAATAAATATCTGACACAACTTGGAATGGTCTTGAGATGTCGCTGACTTCATTAATTTTATTAGGCTGAAACATGTTTATAACACATTAACTAAATGTAGTTTTGGTATACTGTAGTATGCTCACAAGAACAAAGTTTATAAATAATTTTTATTTGGTATTATATATTAAAAATAACATTGTTTGGCTGGATTCCAGGGAAACATGAAGGTCAGGTTTACATTCAAACATCAGAACCATTTAATCCTGATCAGGAAAACTTAGCAGCAAGAATTGATGATGTGAGTGGTAATGCTGTGGCACAGAGGCCAAGGCAGATAACTTGGAGGCCATACTTAACAAGTTCACCATCACGAACACCCACTGTGGTCACAAAAGACTTAGCTGTGTGGAATCCTATGGAATATCCTTTTGGTAAGCTCTATGAGATGTTAGTAACCACCAAGCCTAGAAAACAAATTGCAGGCTAAACCTACATACATGTATCTTCAGTCCATTTCTTTCTTTGTACAATGAGCAACAATAAACAGCAATTTTGCAAGACTATCATATGGCAAGTGTGATTTTTTTTTTTTTGCACATTTGACTTGGAAAAAGATCTCCAGAATAATTTAAGATGGCATTTCATGCTCTTTAATAAAATTTAATGTGAGATTTCACATTATAGTTAAGTGCGATAGCTGGCAAGAATGTTCATTTAAAAAAAAAAAAAACAATATTCTACTTTTTAGTGATTAATATAAGAAGTTTTTCCTACAGATCTGCTACTTGAATTGACATGCCAAGTAATGTGAAATATGTATCTGTATGACTTGTGATGAGAATTATTTCCTGAGTACACTATGAGAAGCATTGCATAAATCAAAATTGATTATCATAATGGCTTGTTGATTTGTAGACAATGGTTATTACCTTTATGGTGAGGTGATGCCAGTGATTCCACCACACAACAAAGATAAACAATTGCTTCCCATGGATTCTGAAGATGCTTTGATGAAAGATAAGAATAATGGTTCAGGAACAACTGTGGACAATCAGGCTGAGTCTTCAATATGGTGGTAAGAATGATCAGTAAATAATTGGTTTACTTGTTATGACGAGAAAAATATTGAAAGTCAACTTACAACACAAGAGACTGGTTAATGGATAGGGTAAGAAAGTTGCACTGGGTTAAGAGCATGACATAATAGTTTAAAACACTTTTGTTCAAGAAATAGAGACTCCTAGCTAGTCCTTATACTGTACTTCTCTTCAAATTTGTTTGTTAATGGTTGACTTGTCATGTCTGTTACAAAATAAAGAAATGCTATTTATTACCAGTTATTGAAAATAACGTGACAAAGAATAGGTTTTGGAAACCACATGTAAATATATGGACCTATGCTAGCATATGTTAGAAAAACATGCGGGCACATTTCCTGACATTTAAATTGTGCAAGATACAGTAGTGTGATGTTTTCTTATATCTGAGCTTTACTGTTGGTAATATCAATGTGGCAAACGCTATCCATGCAAGTCATGTAGAACTCTGTTAGTAAGAATTATTTTATGTGCAAGAAGTAGTCATATGCAATGTTTTCCAATGTGCTGCAAGTAAATGACATGTAACTTACTGATGATCAATATTTTCTCCCTGTAAGGCATGGTGCTGTTTTTGTGACTGTTGCTGTGGCTGTTGTGGTGCAGTTCATGATTCATTTCCTCCGTGGACAAAACAAAGAAAATGTGAGTTTGGGTCATGTTAGACTAATTCTTGCTTTTTCAATTACAGGACATTAATCATCAAAGATTATTTATTTTTAAATATTGATGCACTGTATATTTTGTTAGTGTTTTCAGTTT